TTAGGTTAGGGTTAGTAGGGTAGTTTTATTAATAAAAAAGTATATGTGGATTTTAGTAGGTATTATAGATTTAAATAAAGACCCCAAATTTCAGCATCAGCCATTTTCAGCATCAGCTGCAACAATATTTTTTTTACTAACGCTAAATAAATTAATTTTATAATCATATTAAATTGCGTTATAATTTTACGATAACAATGAAGAGTGAAATAGTGATGGCGCAAAAATTTGGCGGTCCCGTGACTAATTAAATAAAAATGATAATCTAATTTTCGTCTAAAAATTAATGTTTGTATTAATACAAAGTAGAAAGAATATATCCTTTTACATTTATTTTTTACTTCACAATTGTATGTTACACACTGATCTTACAATCAAATTAAATAAAAATCACGGGACCGCCAAATTTTTGCGCCATCACTATTTCACTCAACAATGATATCAAATGTTTTAATGATATTATCGCTCAAAGTTTCAAAAAATTTAATAAAAATGATTTACGGGTATAATCTTTGTTTGGTTAGCACCATAGCGATTGTGAGGTAGAAAAGTGATGGCAAAAAAAAAGTCGCGACCATGTGATCACCGACCGTTTCCAACCTATATGACATAATAAGATTGAAAGTTAAGATAATTAACTTTAATTTTTGTGTTTGTAAATTTTTTTGGAACAAATTAAAGCTAATTAACACTAGATTTATTAACTTGTGATTTTACTTAAATAAAATCGGGAATAAGAAGAGTTACGATGATAAGGTTTGGCTTTATTAAGTGTAAATTAAAAAATAGCTTTTTTTCCCGGTTATAATTAAAAAATATTTCATTTTACATATCGATACATTGTATGAAATCAAACTAATTAATTTTACTTTTATTATCTAACCAAATTTTCGCCTTTACATGTTCGTACGTATGTTTATTATATTGATTTATTAACTTGTAATTGAGTGATTTAATTTCGCATAAATTTTGTGAGGGTTCGGAAATGTCAGCAATCACATAGTCGTGACTTTTTTTACCATCATTTTTGGTTATTATTTGTATGCTACATATTACGTAGAAATTTTGAACATCATTTTTCCTTTTTCGGTACTCGAACTTCCAATTGGCAGTTTTTTGATAAATAGTTTATATGTTTTTGATTATTTAATTAAATTAGAGTAAGGGTTAGTTAGAGATTTGGGTTGGAGGAGTTTTTATAAGTAAAATTGTCTTCTCGACATTTTTTATTAGTGCTTCAAGACAGGTTTAGACACTCGTTTCTTGTATTTTCGACATTTTTCACTTTTGTTTTTTGTTTTTGTCTCGTCGGGCTGATCCGGGTTAATCAAATTTTATATTTTGATTGTCTGTTAGTCACATGAATGCACCTAGCTTTAGACGGTCCCCAAAATGGGTAATTATTTTTGAAGCCGATTTTACTTTCGTGATGATGATCTGATTGGACAAAAAAATCAATATTTAAAAAGTGCAAGTCTTTTTTTCAGTTTAAATGTCCGAAAAAAATATTTTTCATTTCGCTTAATTAAATAAAAGTATAAAAAGTCTGATTTTTAGAAAATGTGTATGTGGATACAAAATAAAAACCTTTCTTCCGAGTTGTACCTTGTTCTTAATTTAACTTAGCTCTTGTATTATAGTACATACATGATCGATAAAAATTTTTAGCTTGCAATTATTTGCAATTTACCCAGGGTTGTTAGTGATAATTTACCATGATAAATTATCGTGGTAAATTACCAGTAAATTACCATGAATTTTGGTAAGTTACCAAATGCTTGCTTGAAAAGTGTGACCATGGTAGTTACCACAAATTTTATAAATTATAATATCATAATTTTACAATCCTGGGCTCAGCTGCCACGCAAAATATCACGAATAACTGCATTAAATAATTCAGGCCAGAATTTAACTTTATATTTTTTTCATTTCAAAAACAGAAATTTGAGAAATAAAGTTCTATAATAAAATTAGCTCAGGGGCATTTTCACTTAATAAATCATTTTATCAGTAAACTTTTGAGTAATTACAATTGAGATCTCCGTGACAATTTTGGTGTTTATATCCCGTGCAGTAACCGTAGCTGCCGCAACAAATTTGGACCGGCAGATCCTCGATTTTGATTGGCTAACGGCCGAGGATCTTCAAAATTTTGGCCCACATTACAAAATTGTTTACTAAATTCCAGCCGGAATTAACTTTTTAATTTTTTCATTACAAAAATAAAAATTCTTAAAAAATAAGCCCGCATTATGGTAAAATTGACCCAGGAACAATTTTCACTTAATGGGTGGGTATGATTTCATTAGTAAAATTATGAGTAATTCCAGCCTAATTTTTTGATCGTCGCTCTTAGCCAATCAAAATTGAGAATCTGCCGGTCCAAATTGTTGCGGCAGCTATGGTTAATTATCCCATGCTCAACTGCGGAGTAAATCTAATTTGGCTCAACGACCATCAAGGATTCCTAGGTTTTCTGGTAACATTTCCTTCAACAATCCATCTGCGCCTGGCATTTATAATTTTCTTATTAGGCTTTCTGAACCCACTGAACATCAACAGAACCCCTTCGTGTTGCCTTTTTGAAGTATCAAATTGCTGGCTTAACATTGCAATATTTTTCCGTTATTCAGGAAAAAAATAACCTCCTTTCTCGACTTTCTTTCCTTATTCAGGAAATTAATAATCTTCGTTCTGAAGTTGTCACATTAAAAGATCACATGAAAGTCCAAGAGGCTGCCCTTTCTGTTTCAAATAGAGAATTTGAAGGATTTTTTTCTTAATGGTCAATTTTCTATAAATAATCAACCTTGATCAGAGATGTCATGTTTACTATGTTTGTTCTATTGGCTTCTAATTTTATTCACTTTTTTTATTTTTCTATTGTAAATTTTCAGTATTAAATTTTACTAATTAAATATAAATTTATTATTTTACTAATGGTCTAACAATATATATTGTGATGCTTGGAAAACGTACGCCTTAAAATCCCTACTCTGTAGGGTAAACCGGGAAAGGGTTTGCATAACGTTCAACGATACTATTATCTCGAAAGAGGACGTTCGATTTGGCGGAGCCAAGTGTATACTTTATTAGAGTATATGCGAGATACTTTACAAATAATAAATGTGTAGTATATTTATACTGCTTACAAATCTACTAATTCTAACAAATCTAACAAATCTACTAAATCTGCTATATCTAATGAATACGATTCTACTAAACCTACTACATCTAATGAATCTACTCAATCTACTGCTATTACTCAATATAGTTATATGCTATCTAAAACAAATATGCAATCGATTCACTAATTTAAGCCTAATGCATCGCCGATCTATTTTCAATCGTTACAGTATTTAAATAATTGCAAATTATTAATAAAAAAAAATTTTTTATATAAGACAAAAAATTAAACTTTTGTTCTATTGTTCTATTTGCCAACCCTGACCTTGATCTATTTGATTTTTTTTTTTATGGTTTATGCAAAATTCGATAATTTATTTTTTTGACAACGATTTCTATTCTTTTTTTATTTTTTAAGTACTATGATGTTGATAATAAGCTCTAACTCTATGTCTACATGGCAGATCTATTATGATTTTATATGTTTATATTGCTATTTTTATAAAAGATGCTTCAATCATAGGCAACTCTTATATTAATATTAGAGGGTTGTGTTATCCAATTTTGTAAAACCATACGTTTGATAATAATATGTTTTTTTTTTAACTTTGAGCGAAGACATCCCGACAACAATCTATTCCAAAATTGATTTTATTTTAATAATTCAGTTTTATAAAATTGAAATAAGAAAAGTTTTTATTGATTTTAAACAGGTGATTGTTGAGATACAGTATCTTCGCTTAAAGTTAGAAATAAATTTGTCATGACTCGTTTTGATAGTTATCTAAGTTTTCCAAACTTTGAACGAAGTATCCTAACAACCACCTATCCATTGATAAAAATGGTTTTATTTAATAGTTACGTATTTGTGCGAAATAACGCACATGGGCGTTATTTTGGGACATGAGCTTGAGGTGAGCTAATAATTGATTTAGCTAAAGACTTAATAACAAAAGTTATAATTTGCATTCGGCCAAATTAATTATTAACTCGTCCCAAACACGTGTCCCGATTGGAGTTATTTTGCACAAATATGGTATACAATATAATAAATCAAAATAAAAAATTTTCATTGGGATATCTTCATTCAAAAACTTTGTGCGGCTTGTTTTGATAGAGTGGAAGGGATCGGAAAATAATTATGTGAGCATCAATCGAAATTTTCGAGTATCAAAATAAGCTTCATTCATTGAGTTTTAAGGGACACTTGAAGAACAAGGAACCCAGTGATTATCACATCACGTGAAATAACGCAATTACGTCATTTGTTTACTAGCACTAAACAAATTAGCCTACACCTAACCCTAACACTAACCCTAATGTAGGCTGAACACTTAATCATGTGATGTGATTATCATAAAGATATCACTGGGTTCCTTGATCTTCAATCTTCTCAATCTTTCCCATAAAATTAATAAATAACAGTTTTAATAATTTTTCAAATCGACATTAATTAAAAACATGAAATTTTATTTAATATCGAATAATTTTCTGTTAATGTTCTCATAAAGTTCTCTTTTAATAATGAAGAGGATGTGTTAATATTTCGGTTTGTCATAACTAATAATAATGAAACACAAGTTTGCTACGAAGTTACAAATATTTTGCTCTTTCCGAGCTTGATTTCGAAGCAGATCCTATATAGTGTGAGTCTTTACAAAATAGTAAGTGAAACAGCATGAAAATGTCTTGCAATTCCAACAACAAGCATACCAAGTGAACGCCTATTTTCAAACACAAGAAATGTTACGAATGTGAAGAGAACATTATTAAATCAAAAGTAACTTGGCAGAGTGATATTTATAAAACATTTTTATAGAAAAAATTAATTTGATATTTAGGATTAATATATGGTATTATAATTATAAATTGCAACTTATATCAAATAAATTTTTTTATTTAATGTTTTTTAATATATTTTCCAAAATTTTTCGAATTCTAGAGTTTGTAAACTCATTAATTCCAATCAATAAGTAATAGTTATATCCTGGGCAGTTGGGTATAAGCCCAGGGTATACCTGATTTATGCCCTGCAATCTTGATATAGTGACCAGGGTATAATGATAATTATTTAAGTTATTTTGAGCAAAGATGTTTCGATAACTACTTATCTACATTTAATAAAATTCTTTTATTAAATTCCATAGTTTTTAGGATAAATATAAAAATAAGTATATATCATCAATTTCAGATAGGTAATTTCTCTCGCTTAAAGTTTGGAAAACCTTGCCGTGGCTTCTGTTTTATAGTTATCTAAATTTTTCCAAACTGTGAGCGAATATATCTCGGCAACCACTTAACCAAAATCATTAAAAAATTTTTTTTAATTTATACAGTTACAGTATGTATATAGAATCGAAATAAAATTTTTTTCAATTTTAGATTTACGTGCTTGATTTGGACTGTTTTCGTCCAACTAGAATGTGTAAAGTCGCGTTATTTTTTTCCCGAAAATTCTTCACTATCATATATTGATCAATATAGGTTTTATTAAGATGGTTGGTAAAGTAGTATAGTACAGACAAAAATTGAGCGAGATTTCAATAATATGTACCGTACGTTAAAAAAATATATATACAAGAGTATTAATTTTTATTGAAAAATAGACTCATATTTATCTTTATATTTACTTGTGCAAATGGGAATTACTCATATTTTTATTACTCATTTTTATACGATTAATTCTTATTCGTCACACAAGGATTGATCATACCCTCAAATAATTTGAAATATCAATCATCCTTTTCATTTGCAGTTTGGTTCTACGAGTGTTCTACGTACTGTACAGTACGTACTGTACGTACGATTTGTAATTTTGAACATCATTTTTCCTTTTTCGGTACTCGAATTTCCAACTATGTAGCGGTTTTGTTTGATAAATATGGTAGACGATATAAGATAAGCCTGAATTTGAAAATTAAGTGCAATTGTACACCCTATACTAGCTCCAAAAGAGCGGACACGACCAAGCCGATTGCGTGTTTTTATTTAATTTATAATGTTTTTTTATACCACTTTTCCTTCCAGTGCTAAGATGATATTCTCTACGTAGCTTTTTGATTATTTTTTCTTATTTTATTATAAATTGAACCAGTTTTCCTCGTAAACAACCATTACCAATCGCACGATCACTCACGTTTCTAAATTAATCCCGTGTTTCAACTGCGGAGTAATCTGATTGGCTAAATCTATCGATTGTAACTATGGCTCAAAGACCATCTGCGCCCGGCACCCATAATTTTCGTATTTGGCCTTCTGAGCCCACAAAACATCAACCGAATCCTCTTCAGATTACCTTTTTGGAATATCAGATTGCTGAGTTGAAATTGCAGCATTCATTCGTTATTCGGGAAAATAATAATCTTCGTTCTCAGCTTTCTTTTCTTATTCAAGAAAATAATAATCTTCGTTCTCAAGTTGCCGCATTACAAGATTAAACAGGTCGTCATTTCAAAATAAAGAATTTATTGGAGAATTTTCTCTTAATGGCAATTTTCTGTAAATGACCAGTTTTAATTGTTTTTAGTATTTTATTTTTTCGTTTTTGTATAGTTTATGTAAAATTTTATGAATTGATTTTTCGAAACATATCGATTTTTTAAATACTAGGTGTGTTAAGGCTTTGTCACTATTTTCCCTTTTTTTAAGTTATACTATGATTTTGACAATAGTCTCTAACTTTAAGTCTGACCTATTATAATTTACTTTTCATATTATTATTTTAATAAAAGGCATTACAAAAATGTAGCCATTCTTATATTAATATTAGAACCGAATGATTTTCTGAAGACAAAAATGCTCGTTGTCCTTTAGTTATTGGTAAGAGGTGAGATAGTCGCCAGAAAGTTAATGTTCAATAATTCTAGTACATGGAAAAATTTTAAAAAGATATAATACTGTCTCTACAATAATAGCCAAAAATCATGTTATTACTAATAATATTGGCTAATAAAGAAAATGGACCCATTTATGCGACAACTTGGGAATCGATGCTTAGTATCAACCGATTGAACAATTGAATTTGTAAGAAGTTGAAATTCATAAAACTTAAGAAGCAAATGCCACTTTGATGCCAGTTTAAACTATAATAAAATTTTCCAAGTTTTACTGATTTCAACTAATAAATTCGTTTACAGTCAGACCTCTTTAAGTGCACCCTCTATAAGTGCACACCCTCTCTAAATGCATCTCAAATACTGGCCCAAATATATACTTGATCTCCATAAATGCACCTTTTCTTATTATTCTCTATATGCACGTTATTAAAGTGTAGTCCTAAGGGCGTGCATTTAGAGAGGTCTGACTATATTGAAGTATCACAATAGCCTCGATAGACAAAGAGACTGAAACAAAACTTTGAGAATCTAAAGTATATTGAGTAATGAATTAAGTATCACAGAAGTCAAAATACTGTATTGACAAATATAACTAGAAGAAACTTACGAGATATTCATTTAATATTACTGTCGATACTAAACTGGACGCACCGAGGTGGCCATCATGAATTGCTTTTCCAACAGTGGCACCATTAATACGATTATAACCAGTTGCCGTAAATGCAGATCAAATTCATCTTCACGATTTCTTCGATGCTCATCTTATATGTAAAAGTTTTAAATTGGAAATATATGATGTAATCATCAACTTCCATATCTTTATTTATCTATCCTTTAGAGACGTATGCTTGATACGTGCTTGGACATCAAAATCTATCTTCTTTCGAAACGATAACGACCATCAATCATAAAGTTACGCGAGAAAGATAATTACGAATCATCAATTTTGTCCATAACATTATATAAACTGGGTAAACCGACAATTCTGTTTCATTTCAATTATGTGACTTTAATCGGGCGGCTATCCAGATATTACAACTGTTTTCATAAATTTTGGGACATCTAATAAAAAATTGACCGAATGATTATTTGGCTGATTCGTTGATTTCGGTAATAATCGTATATACAGCAATGTATATTGATATCATTATTTTTATCTTTGATAAATGACATTTTCAAAGCATATTCATTGAAAAAAATATTTGGAAGGATTAGCAGTTCGGGTACTAGCAGGTCTTCTGTGAATCGAATTCTCAACCATTTTCGAAGATATGGGGTGTGTTGAAAAACTTCTAGCAATTTTAGGAAAACTACTTTTATTAAATTTGGATGAATAAACCTTTCAATGAAAAATTCTTTATTACAATAATTTTTGATTGAGTTGCTGTTGCTTCAGATACGTTAGATGATATATTAGGGGGTTTCAAAGTTAAAACGCGGAAATCTAATTTTAATTGAAATTGATGACATATTTATTTTGAAATAAGTGATCCGGAAATCTGATCTTATTTTCAGTTTGAACGAAAGTTTTACTTTTTATTGATTTTTTTTTTTACGAAGTATCATGCATGTTGACAAGGGTCAACAGATCGAAAAGACAGGGAGCATTGGGCAGGGGTCAGACAACACGTGCTTGACTCGGCCGGTTACCCACATGGGGCATTGGGGGGTGCGTTCAACTATGTAAATCAAAACTATGTATAGATGTATATCAAATTTTATATATGAATTTTTTTAGC